AAGCCTGACTGGAGCAGACTGAACTTCTATAACTGTCAGCGATTTCTCGATATAAATCTCTCTCTATAGACAATACATACAAGGGTCACTGGTTTTGCTCGGGTCTAACTCCAAGTGCCCGGTGTGTCATACAGCAGTACCGCTCTCTATAGGGCTTTTATTATTCTCATTGAGCGTTGGGTTGTGAGCTTTGAAGGTTTACAGAGTTAAGCTAATACTTAATCCAAAGGCACCAGGTCTTCCTAATCTGTCGAGTTTTCACGTGGACATGAAGTGATTAGAACAGCATGGCTGGGGGCAGGCACAGGAGGGGCTGTTCACTTCCGAGAGATGAGCCCATAAGGATGCATATCTGAGGCAGCTGTGAGCTTCAACAGACGCTTAGTGGCCATTTTGAGTGGGACAGTCCTAGGGTTTACTATTTTGGAAAGACAATTTCAAAAGAAATTCACCATCACAAAGAAGATTTCAAGACCGATCTTGAAGTCCAGCGTCTGCACACAAGGAAGGCCAGTTAATACAACTACTGTTCAAAATTTCATGCAAGCGTCCGAAATCAATCACATATATGTAACCAACATGCACTAACAATTACTGGGAGATTGGAATATGAAAGCTGAATATTAATCCTTACAGCTCATGTATACAGGGCAAATACATACCCTCTTAGATGCAGCCAGTACTGCAGAGAGACTGGACAGGTTGGTTTTATGTCCTCACAGGAGAAGGAAGGAAAGGAGGCAGGGCCAGGTGTGCAGTTCATCAAAAAGAAGTGTTGGCCATTTTTTACATCTGTTGGTGTGGGACGGGCCATTTCCAGTCTATGTTGGCCTTCCTCGAATAGCACTGGCATTTATAACTTGTGCAATATTATAAATTACTTTGAATTATTTTTCGTTGACAATTATCCAAAATACCTATCACAAATGAGAAAATTACATGTATTATCTAGGCTGGTACATTCTTTGATTTTCAGGTGCAAATTTCCCAATGGAATCCCTGTATTTTACGGCTGGATGGGATTGTAAAGATAGTCTACTCTGGCTCCCTCTTTTTTTAACTAAGAAACCTAAGGTACAGAGAGGTTTTGTGTCCCAGGGAAGTAGGCAATGGTGGAAACCCCTAACTGCAGCCCTGTGTTTCTTATTGATGTCCAAGCCAGTAATGATCAAAAAGTCCCTTGACAGTGCGCACAGTGCCTGGCACATGGTGAGCAGCATTGAAAGGTAATCCTGTGACAGGTTATACCACATGTCTGTATGTCATTGCTGTTTTCAACATTTCTTCCTGTGTGGGTCTTCCATCCCCAAGTAATGTCCTCCTGATGTTGCTCAAAGAGATCGCATGTTGATCTTATTGTAGAAAAATCATCTCTTTCTCAAAAATGAAGCAAACAATTGTTGCCCCGTGTGGATGCAGATCCATGTCTTGTAAACTTGAGGGGAAATGTTGTGAGAAAGTGCTTTAATCGAGCAATTGAGATTGGCCCTGGGGGCAAGCAGGCGTCGAAGCATGAAGGAATTGGTGAAGGCCTTAAATAAAAATTAGGAGGGAAACTAAGAAGTAAAGTTATGGGTCAGCCTTTGGGGACTGATTTGCTGAGTTAAAAATGATAACCAATAATGATCAAGCACTCACTCCCTGCCAAACACTGTTCTAAGTACCGGGCCTGTATTAGATTAGCCACACGGTGTGACAACTCTTGGAGCTAGCTTGTGTCTAAAGAAGCAAAGCCAGTGGCCCTCATATACGTGTTAGAAAGAGCTTTCCGTCACAGAGGCAACCCAAGCCAGTCCAATGCCAGTCCAACGCCAGTTCGGGGTCCCATGCTGATCTGGGCCCTCTGCAGATACATGTAGCTGCAGGCCAGTGATGCAGAAAGGTGAGGCACGAATCAGGAAGGCGGCCGGCCAGTGGGGGCACAGTCACCTGGCCCCAAGGTTGGTGGGAACAAGCACGGCACAGACAGTGCCCAGGTTGGCTCCCAGGTCAGGGACCCACGTGGGGCCGCCCCTGGAGGAAGAGAATCCTAGCAAGCAGGGAGGTTAAAGGGAGAGAGAAGTGCCCACTGTCTTGGGGCCACTCCCCTCAGGAAGTACCATCAGGCTGTGTGTGGCCTGACTGATAGGTCGGTCTCCACCCTTATATTTACATACAGGTTTCAAGTGACAAAAAAAAAAAGTCTAACCGCCACATAGGTATTACCCATTTTGTGGATGAAGACATTGAAGATCATTTTTCCAAGGCAGCCAGCTAGTACATACAGTCAGGATTCAAACCCAGATTGCTATGACATGGGCTCCTAATCACAATTTGATAGGAAAAAAACCAGGTCGGTATGTGGTACTTAATATCAAACCCAAACACTGCTGTCCAGTGGGTTCCCACTCATAGCAGTCCTGTAGGACAGAGGACAATTGCCGGTAGGGTTTCCAAGGTCATATCTTTCTCTCGTGGAGCTGGCTGGTAGGTTTGAACCACCAACCTTATAGTTTTCAGCCAAGTGCTTATCCATTGCACAACTAGGGCTACTTGTGTCTAAAAACTAACTACCAAGTGTTGAGTTCTCAAACCAGATCTCCAAAAATGTTAGCTTTCCTTGCTTTGGGTTTTTTATCCACCCGACCAATAGTTTACCCAGTCCTCACTCTCCAAAGGCACACACAAACACACATCTACACACACAACAGCATTTTTTTTCCAACAACATCCACACTCCAGTCTGGGGAACGCGGAGCAAATTTACATGCTGATATATGTCCAAGCTCAGAGTGCTCAGTGGTTAAACTCGGCAAAACATTCAAGCCTTGGGTTGAGATACTGAAAGATTATATGGGCAAAATATTGAAGCATACAGGGAGCATCAAAAAAAGATGGAAAGAAAACACAGTCACTGCACCAAAGAAAATACTTCAGGAGGTAGCATATGCACAAAACCCCATGGTGCTGAAGGAAGAAGCTCAGCAGCATTGAAAGCATTAGCCCAAAATAAGGCTCCAGGAATTGATGGACAAGCTTTCGAAGTACTGGAAGCACTCACTCATCTATGCCAGGAAATTTGGAGGAAAGCTACTTGGCTGGCTGGAAAAGACCCATATTTGTATTCATTGCAAAGAAAGGAACTCAACACAATGAGCAAATTATAGAGCAGTCTCGTTAATAGCACATGCAAGTAAAATTTTGCTGAAGATGATCCAATAGCAGCTGCAGCAGTACCCTGACAGGGAGCTGCCAGAGGGCCTGGCTGGGTTCAGAAGAGGACAATCAGAACCAGCATAGGAACAATCGCGAGGCTGGCACAGGACTGGGCAGTGTCTCATTCTGCTGCACAGAGGGTTGCCCTGAGTCAAATCAATATGACAACACTTAACGACAGCTTAACGATAGTTGCCCCAAAGCCAGTATAAATATAGGGTGAGTCAAAAAATATTGCCACTACAAGTCTAGTGATTTTAAACAAAACGTTTTAGCATGTCTCTGTGATCAGTGGATTTGCTGCAGACAAGCTCTCTCAGTCACACACTAGTCTTAGGCTCACTAGGGTGCCTTCAAAAGCAGGCCCAATCAAAACAGCAGTCTCTGGAGGGATCCGCTGGGCCAGTTAATTCCCGGTAGAAAGCTTGGTTCAGAAGGTCATAGCATCTGTCTTTTGAGGCTTCCACGAACCCAGTGGCACTGTGGGTTCAGTGTTGGGCTACTGGAAAGGTCCCTGGTTCTAAGCAGCTCCTCCAGAGAAAGATTTCGAGACAGCCCACTCAAGGACAGCGTCTGGATCTGGCAGAAGGAAAACTGGGTGACAGAGGCAGGGACACTGGGAGAGTACATTATCTGCTCATTCTTCAAGGGTGGCAAGGCTGCCCTACAAGAATTGTGTTGGGAAACCTTACCCTTCAGCTCCCAGTCCTATCTTGCAGCTTGGGGCTTCTTTTGTTCCCCAAACTCAAAGAACGGAACAGGGTTTGAGGCCCTTAAGGGCTCCACACCTGCCATTTTGACATGGAGTAAATTGAAGAGGGCAGAATTCTTAGAAGTCTAAAAACCTAGATGAGGAAACTGGCAAGAAACAAACTCTGAACGCTTTGATATTCGTGTGTAATAAAAGTTCCTATGACTTGGCAGCAGTAAGTTTTGACTGACCCTTGTACACATCATATGGACTCTGGGTAACCAAAATGCCCATTCTGATGAACACCAGCATTCGACTCAACAAAGGCTCCCCAATTATGCAGTTACATACATAAACATTGCAGCACAAACGCCGGAGACCTTGGGCTCTGGCAGTGGAAACGGGAGGCCACGGTGAAAGGAGCTAAGAGATTCCATGCCGGAAGGTGGGCCTGCAGCATCCCCCGCTCTGGACAGGCACTTGCTCATCCTGGATGGGTGCTACCCCTCCAGGCCCAAGCCCTCCGGAGCGCGCCCTGCACCCAGTCGTGGGGGCCTGAGCGCCCTGGCTCCCGCTGGGTGCACGATGCAGGGCCGGGAATGGGGGTCATCAGAAATCGTGGGGAGCAGCGACAGCCACATTTGCCTGCGGCCCAGGATCGAATGGGTCACGGACAGCGGCTCCTCTCCGGGCCGCGCAGCGGGGCGGCTGAGAACGGCTCCTGCGGGGACACAGCAGCGCCACCCCGCCCCCAAGCCCAGGTCCTCGGGGAGGCGCCGGAAATGGGCCATCGCCGGTCCCCAGGATAGTGTGGGCGGTGACAAACACCCCGGCCATTAGCGAGGGGGGAAGGGCGGGTTCCAGGAAGGGAGTCGGCCCGGGGCGCCCGGACCTGGACACAGCGGACCTTCCGGCCGGCGCCCCCGCAACGCAGCCGCCTTGCGCAGCCGCCAGTCGCCGCCCAGCGAGGTGACTGCGCCTGCGCCCCGCCCCCGACGCCGAGCACGCCGTCGCCTAGCAACGCGCCAGTCACAGTCCCGTTTCCTGGCCCGGCTTCCCCGAGCTCGTGCTGTGAGGCGCCCACTGGCTCGTGGCAGGCCTTAGCGGGCGGCTCATGGCGGCAAAGGAGGAAAAGCAGCAGTAAGTGGAGTGTTCCCTTCCCTGGGGGGCGAGGGCGGCACCAGCAAAACCCACCCTCTTGGGAGAGGGCCAGTGACACCCAAAGGGAAGAGTCAGGGAATCCGGGCTTTTCCCCTTCACTCCGCCTCCTACCTCTTCCACCTATTGACTGAGCGCTAACAACCACCGTTTTTAAAGCACCGTTAACTGAACTCATACTGTGTGTCAGGTATCTAACATGCATTGCCTCATCACCAAATCTTGAAGTCAATTAAAAAATTATTCCTTTTCACACTCTGCATTTAATCCATTAGCAAATTCTGCAGACTCTGTCTCTAAAATACATCTAGAATCTATTTCCCTACCCTTGGCTGCCCCTCACCTCCTGTTTCATTCCTATCTTGGGCCCAGCTACCATTTTTGCCCTCGAGGCTCTGAAGAACCTTCTCGCTAGCCCCTTGCTTGCTCTCCAGGCTCCTAGGCACAGCAGCCTAGGGTTGTGAAAACTGCAGTCAACCACTGCACCCCAGGTGGTCATCTCAGAGGGAAAGCCAAGCTCCTCCCATAGCATGAGATGCCCCTTGTCTTTCAAAAGGCCTCAGACACTGCGTGTGCCCCTCTGCTTCAGTGGAGTCTGCCACAGACATTCTGGCCTGGTGGTTGTGCTTTGGGCTGCCAGCTTTGGGCTGTCCGAGGTCTCGGAAACTCAGGAGCAGTCTAGCCTATCCCATAGAGTCGCCCTGAGTTGGCATGAGCTGGATGGCAGTGAATGGATGAGCTGTCCACGTGGAAATAAGCAAACAGCCACTGGTGCTCTCCATAGAGCTTCCCCGACTGCGGCCCGGAAACAGATCCGCAGGGGCCTGTGCTCCTGTGTGGGGCAAGCTGCCACTCTTCTGGCTAGTGGCTGCTTCACCACCTGTGCCATCCGGCGGCACTACATCTGCAGCGACTCTCAAATTGGGGTCCCCAGATGGCTCTAGAGGGCAGGGGGTGCAATACTTGAGGTTTTAGCATTACTGTACCCTAAAAGGTGAGAACTACTGAAGGACAGCTAGTTAAGAGAGGAATGGAGGCAGGGCCACACCCCCAAGGCCTGCACTTCCCCACTAGCTGTTCTTAATCTCTAATGTACATGAGAATTAGTTTGAGAGCTGTCTAAGCCATTTCCTGGGACTGTGCCACAGAGACGGGTGTACTAGGCTGGGGTGGCCCTGTGTGTTTCTAACAAGCACACGGGTGATGGCATTGTTGCTGCTCTGGGCATGGACCACACGTTGAGAACCCCTGCTGCTTTAAGGACAGATCCGTCCTGCTGCAAAGTCCCCCAGTTACCATTCACCTGTTGGAATGCTCTTCCCTCAATTTCCTGTTTGGCACTTTGGCCCTTCTTTCTGGTCTTTCTCCAAATGCGGCCTCGGCCCTGTCTGAAATCTCCATCTAACTCCGGAAGGCTTGCAGTCCTTCCCCACGTTCTTTGCTTTACTACTCCCAAGAGCAGGTAACATTAACGCACAGTGTTATTCTGCTGCTTATCTGCCTTCCCCCACCAGAGTGTAAGCTCAGCGAGGGCAGGAACTTTTGTTTTGTCGCTGATGTGGCCTGCCTGCGTTCCTGGAACAGCACCTGGCACGTGTTGTTGTTAGGTGCCAGTGAGTTGGCTCCAACCCATAGCGGCCCCGTGCACAACACAACCATCCCGCACGGTGCTCACAATGGTTCCTAGGCCTGAGCCCATCCATGCAGTCACTCGACGAGGGTCTTCCTCTTTTTCACCACTCTTCCACTCTACCAGGCATGATGCCCTTCTCTAGAGACTTGTCTCTCCTGACAATATGTCCAAAGTGTAGAAGACAAAGTCTTGCCTTCCATGCCTTGAAGGCAGTGGTTCTCCACCTTCCTTATGCCGCGACCCTTTAATACAATTCCTCATGTTGTGGTGACCCTCAACCATAAAATTATTTTCGTTGCTACTTCATAACTGTCTGAAATGGTACTCTGAATATTCTTCTCTAGCATCACAATTCAGTACATCTATTCTTTGGTTTTCTTTATTCAAGGAATAAGGAACATAGAGTCTCAATAAATATTTGTTGAAAAAATTATGAAATACAGTTCTCACATAGGTTATATAGTAGGTATACAAACAAACAAACTAAAGCTCGGATACGAAATGACTGAACTAGGATTCCAAACTAGGTCTGACGTTGGTCAGAGCTCATTACTGGTTTGGACTGTGTGTTCCCACTCCAAAATGCAAACCTGACTCACTGCCATCGAGTCATCGTTGACTCAGAGCAGCTCCCCTGTGGGCTTCTGAGATGAACTCTTTCCCAGAGCAGAAAGCCCAGCTTTCTCCCCTGGAGCTGCTGGTAGTCTCGAACTACAGACCATGTGAATCTCAGCCCAACTCATAACCACGACGACACCACCAGGCTCCTCTTGTTTTCCTACTAGTCAGTGATTATTCAGAATTGCCTATTTCACATTTATGTACCAGTCTATAGCCGTTCACACAATGAGCTTGATCAAATGAGTGTACATGCAAGCAAGCAAGCATTAGAGTCCTTTCTTCCAAAGATGTGATTCTAATACAAATGCCTTGCTGGGGGGTGGGGTGGGGCTAGTGTCACAATTATGAGACACAGAGGGGGGAAAAGATGTCAGAAGTCTACAATGATAAATTAATTGACCAAAAGGTCAACCCCTTTAAATGCTTACATCTCTTGAAAGATAACAGAAAAATTCTTACATTTTTACTGCTAATGAAGTTCTCTAAGTTCATTGTAAAAAGGCAAATTTTGGTCTGAAACAGGGAGCTGGAATCTAAGGGTGCTTTGCATGAGGAATTGTATTAAAGGTTTGGCTGGAGTGTGCAGCCGAAACAAAGCCATGTAAAGCACCAGTTCAAGCAGATCCTCTAGAAATAGGTACCATATACACTCGGGTATAAGCTGAGTTTTTCAGCACATTTTTAATGCAGTTTTTGTGGTAAAATTAGGTCCCTCGATTGATAATCAGGTCGGCTTATACTCCAGTATATACGGTAGTTATTACAGTGACAATCCATTTATCTACAGTGAACCAGGTACAATTACCACCTTCCTGGACATTA